ATACAGGTACATAGAGGTGAAAAATTAATGGGAGTACTGGTGAGAGACCAATTTGAAGAACAGATGGTTGATATTGTCTGGTTTTGATGTGATAAAGTTACCGCACCAACAGTAATTAATACTATATTAATTACAGATCTCAATATACCTGATATATTGGGGTATGAAAATATGTCATCCTCAGCAGCCACAAGCTGGCGAACAAAAGAAATCATATGACTATCTGTAACGATTAATTTAATATGATGACAACTAGCGTCAGTACAGGTATCAACTCACCTGTATATCACAGGTAAAAACTCAGGTAAAACACTGTTACAAACAACCTAATGAATTATCAATGGCGGAAGTAGAAAATGACTTTTTTTGTGACAGACTTCTGTCATCACCTTTGTTTGGGTTGTTTGCATAAGTCGCTTAACGGTTTCTGATCCACACGATCACACTAAAGCACAAAGGCCAACCGTCCAATTTGGATAGGTAAAAACACTAATTATGTTATATTATTCGGACCAATTTTCACCTGAGTAGCTGGTGTAACTGACATGAAAGAGGTGTTTATTGTTCCAGTCGTGTGATATATACTGTTATGTAGGTATGATGATACTAGCCATTTTATGTAGGGAGTGGGGTGGAAGGGATGGGGGTGGATGGGGGGGGGGTTCAGGTGTTCTGATGTCAGATAATTTCACATTTTTTTAACATTTGCTGGTCATTTTACAAACAGGTATTTCTCAGTAGACAGTAGACATCACAGCACTAATCACTTTCAAGGTATGAAAATTGTCTTCTAACTCCTCTGGAGTCAATTAACACGAACATCTATTATATTTTACATACTGCAAAATCATATATTTTATCAGGCTCAGATTTTGTAGTTTTCAAATTATGGATTTTTTCGGTACTTGATTTTGTAGATAAATCTTGCTGACAAAATCCAACAGTATTATATAAACCATGTTATCGGTGTATAATTTCATGAACCTATAGATTTGTGGGTTTAGTGTAATGACGAATTAAACGAAAATAAATTCTCTGTGAAATTAATAATTTTACAGTAGGTAATCTCCATGAGTAACAGTCCAATAAGATTTTATGTTTGTTCTTATACTTAATTATCTATCCAATAATAAGCCCATGTCTGGTAATAAGCTCACCTCCTAATGTTGATTGCACTCTTGTGTAATAAGCCCACCTCTTAATGGTGATTTTACTGTCATGTAATAAGCTCACATCCTAATGGTGATTTTACTGTCATATGATAAGTCCACTTCCTAATGTTGATTTCACTGTCATGAAATAAGCCCACCTTCTAATGTTCATGTAACTGTTCTGTAATAAGCCCACCTCCTAACATTGATGTCAGTTTCATTAAATAAGCCACCATCTCACATTAAAGTCATTATCATGTAATAAGCCCACCTTCTAACATTGATGACCCTTTCATGAAATAAGCCCACCTCCTAACATTGATGGCACTTTCATGAAATAGGCCCAACTCCTAATATTGATGTCAATGTCATATAATAAGCCATCACCTAACATTGATGTCACTGTCTTATAATAAGCCCACCTCCTAACATTGAAGGCACTGTCATGAAATAAATCCAACTCCTCATATTGATGTTACTGTCATGTAATAAGCCATCACCTAACATTGATGTCACTGTCTTGTAATAAGCCCACCTCCTAACATTGAAGGCACTGTCATGAAATAAACCCAACTCCTCATATTGATGTTACTGTCTTGTAATAAGCCCACCACCTAACATTGATGTCACTGTTATGAAATAAACCCACCACCTAACATTGTTGTCACTGATATGAAATAAGACTGGAGTGTTCTATCAGATAAAAATTCCATTACATTTTTAAAACTGATCATGATGTTCTTTTCCAACATACATACAAACACATACCTGCAATCATTTTGCTTTCCTGTATATGCTTAAAATAGCAAAGATACTACAATGTTGTATTTTTAATGGTGCTAAATTTTGTGATTTTACCCAAGGTTTGAGGCAAATAGAATATATTTTCCACAATAGATTTCTGTATCAAGTCTTGTTTCCATTCTAACAATTTTATCACAAATTTATTCTACCCTTAAAATAACGATAAATAGGAACACTTGAATTTTTTTAACTTTGACAATAACTGAATTATCCTTCTTCGATAATCTAATAATATTCAATACACTCAATCATCGAAAATACAATCTCTAACCGCCTTCGGATATCGTATTTACACTGGGTCACTGATAGGTAGACAAATATCCTGACCTTGACCTTTCCATAAAAGAGGTTCCCTGACTTTGATATTTCTGTGATCATACATACAATATATTGTAGTATTTGACCAATCTCACGCCCTCAGACAAGAACAGTACCGAAAAAACACCCCATAAAGATTTATTGTAGGTGTCTTATTTCACAGTTATAAGGTCATAGAGTGCAATTCTATGCAAGTTCCAATTATTAAAAAGAGCCTTGTTATTAGATGTCAATAATGCAAAAATAACAAAATTTTTTATTATAGAATTTGTTAAAAAGAAATTGTAACGTACAGTTCTACAATATATTTCTTTGTTCCTTCATTTATTATGAGTGGAGAACTTACACAGACCAAGTTTTAACAGAGAAATCAAAGCAACAAAACTTAATATACATAAAAATTTATTAAAAAAGTGCCAACATTAAACATGCAAGGAACTAAATCCCATAGGAAACTGTGACAGGTATTGCTGATTTTGATATCAAGACCATCCCTTCAAAGACACAATGGTAGAAAGTAATCATGTAACATCATTATATGATGAAGAAATAAGACATCAGAGAAATTCCATATCTGGTGCATAAGTAGTAAGCTTATAGTCCATATCTGGTGTATAAGTAATAAAATATAGTCCATATTGCCTGCCTGAGTAATATTTTAGATACTTCAATACAAATACGATGAGGTATTTACTTTAGAAATTTGAGAATGGCTGGCAACACATCATGATATGAATGAGAATATTGTATATCGTTGAGTGTTGTGCCTATGTACATGTAACCTCATGTGAAGATCTGAAATATGTAGACTGACACTTGCTACCTGTGGCACATTCTGTTTCTCAGAAAGCCAAGAAACTGACTGGTCTGTGCTGTTTTGATTGTGTCCTTAAGCAAAACTCTCCACTCCAATAGCTCAGGATCACACACACTGGGCCTCCTGTAAGTTAAGTGAGGTAACCACCAACAACTACAAGAATACTTTGCCTCAAAATGACCCTGGCTGTTCACAGAGCCATGAATGCAGCAATACAAAACAAATCACAGCCACCAGTATGTGATTTTCCAAAAATGTAGACTTGAAAATGCACAAATATTTCTGTTAAAATTTGTCAGGATTGATTTTTGCACCAATTTCTGTCATCTTAAAAAATTGTGTTTACTTAAGCCACAGATCCATTTGAAGATACTATTCTGTGTGTTTAATACATAACAGGTTTTCCATCCTAATCTCATCCTTGTAATAGCCAGCCTTTGTTTATTTACACCTGGGTGAAATTTAATTAAAATATTTTCAAAGATCAAAGAAAATATTGGTTTTGTGACAACAGGTAGACATGCTCACCTGTTTATCTTAATTAACACTGAACGCATGCAAAATTTACCTTATCCAATAAGAAATTAATTCACAAAATAGACGCCACATGGGGATATAAAAATAGCCTTATTGTTAAGGTGGTATACAGGTAAATATTGTATATATAAACCTGTTTATTAATCAAAGCCCAGGTGGGAGAAATTTATCCAGGTAGGCAGTGCACCCATATCAGTAAAGTTCTCCTTTGTTCAAATTACTTTTATCTTTATTTACAAATAAGGCATTTATAATTCATTTTCATTGTAGGTGAAAGGTACAGGTGTTGTTTCAGGTAAGTGTATCAATTAAGGCAGGTGAAAATTTGCCAGGTGAGCAGACAGGGTTATTCATTTCTCGCTTTGTTTCTCTACATGTACTAATGACACCTCTGTGTATCAGGAAACACAATTAAAATTCACAGCATATTTATCAAATAATTTGTTGTTTTTTTTTCATATTATGACATATATGACAGTAGGCAAACGATAAACAAAAAGTTTAAAACATCTGTTTAATTAAGACCCAAGTAAAGTGAATGCTTGACAGGTATATGACAATGACCACAGGTAAATCTCTCATCTAAGGAAAACATATCTATACACGATAGCTATATCTCTCACCTGTGGTATATATACCTATATATTTTTCATGACCCTTTGAAAGATTCTACATACTATCTAATGAATTCTGATCAGGTTACGAACTATCTACCACACTTTTCTGCTGCCCTTGTGGCAATTTGCTCTAACCTCATTGGCTAATCCCTTCCAAACTTGCCTGTCAATCTCAGCGCATTTACACCATGAATGACTGTATTCAATACTGCTCCAGCTTTGACTGTGTTTACGCTCTCAAACTCAGTGTCACGCCCCCTTTATGCTGTGTACCTGTGCTAACTATTCTTTGACGCCTAACTGACCTTACCTATATACCTACCTGTATATACAAGTATATTACAAAGGGTTATATCTACGCTATATATATCATACATCCAGGAGTTTCTAAGGAAGAATATTTTATAGAGATCTCTCAACAAATTGACAATCATCAACTTATGCGTGGAACTTTAAAATTTTAATTTAAATAGACAGTGTTGATTCCATTTGACACAAATTGTGGCGTTGGACTTCAAACTGATCCCGTAGAGTGAGCGCTGTTTATGCGGAGCCAGAGGGAGCTGATATCGTTTGCTATCTAATCTAAAGCTGTTTGTAAGGAGGCCTCACCGTGGATGTTTGGGAAGACAGATAATTGAGAACTGGTGACCCAACACTGTGGTGTGACTGTCCATGTGCTCCGATGTCTGGGAGCATATGAACGACTATTAGATAGCGACTATTAGATAGCGTGTTTTATAACCTTCACTGAAACTACAGCATGCAGTGGTGAATTTTCAAATTTGTGCATTTTCAGAGGTGGAAAACAGAACATGCTCATTATACATCTGTGTTCTTTTATCATTGGAAGCTCATTTTTTATGTGAAATATTCCATGTGAAATGTCAGGTGTATTTTAACTCCAGGTACACTGACAGCAAAACATGACAAATTAAGAAATTATCTTAAAGTGAATTTCATGTGGAAATACACATACAACAGTACATGTGTATGAGATGTCTTCAACAAGCTAGTTTGTGCCAGTATAAATAACAACGATATGGTCAGCTGTATTTTGCTGGTGTCCTTACTTTGGACACTCTTTGTTGATGTCACTGCGAAGGTAAGCATTCTTAATAAGCTGTCTTGGACAGGAAAAAAAAAGGTGAAAAAATCTTGAGAAATTAAAATATACAATTTCTTCCTATTGTGTAAAGTTCTGAAATGCAAAAATCTCGCTGATATTCGATACAAGATGTCTAATTTAGTCTTTTTATCAATCGAGAGCACGATTCTTAGATCATTGACACTTAAACATGCATGGCAGAGTTCTGGGACACAATATGTGACTGAATTAAGAGCACAGATCCCGACAAACACCGACAGCGTTTCCTCCAGTCTACAAAAACTTTGTGTCTTTTTCATGCTTGTCTACTGAGTCAATAAGGGATTCGATAATATCTCTAACAAGCCAGTCTCCATTTACCATCCATCACGTGTTAAACATGCACAAAAAAGGTGATTTTTTTTTTTTGCTATGAATTGGGTGATCTTACACAGGAAGTGCTCTTCAAATTGTATCCGTGCATTGTGGTCTTATTTTGTGACATCTTTAGCTGAATTTAAATAGATTCTGAGTTTGGGGCAGCAATGTCATTGGTTTATTTGAACACACCAGGTATATATTTTAGCTGGAATAAATTCAGAGAGCCACTCATTACAGTCTCCCAGGAAAACTACCAATATTTTGAAAGCTGTCTTTACATTCTTGAAAATACTTTGAAAAAGGAACCTGTCTATAGTGATGTGAAAAGGAACTATTATACTGCTTTTGTTCAGATTGCACAGGTTGTTGGATTAAATCACTAACAGCTACATCATATAGCAAGGGTTCATGTAATCATACTGTTTATAGTTAGGACCATATATGACAATGGTTTAAATTTCAAACTGTTTATTTTATACAGATGTGTCAATACAACAAAGACACAAAATCATTGACAACTAATGCTGATGAAAAATTCGTTTTAAATTGTACATTGCTTGTCTTATTGGACAAATGAATGTTATAGATTTAATCTGTACTCCATGATCAATATGGTCAAGAATGGTCAAATGTATATCGCACCTTACTGACACACCTGTCAATTTAAACACGTCTGCATACCTGTGATTAACAAGTAGTCCACCTTTGTATTTTACAGGTATAAATCTATAATGCCTATATTACATACACAGGCACTCCAGTATCCCAGAAATCTGTTCCTATCAAGAATCCTAAACACACTTTAAGTGATATCAACTCTTATATACAAAGTCAACCTATATATATATATCAACAAACTCCATTCAAATTTATTTATTCAATAAACTCCGCTATGAATATACATATCTGCCGACAGACTTACTGGTTGCTTAATGTCGTGTCAGTGTGAATTTGATACCTGAGTCCTACAGGGCAACAAATGCCCTTGAAACTTGACAGTCGTAATTGGCCATTTAACACACAGAAGGTCGCAAAATTTTAAATGTGGATATTGAGTGTACAGTTCTTGACAACTATCAATTAAAATAACTGATAATACTCTCTCATTAACCAGTTTCTTCTTTTTCACCAATCAAAGAAAATTCTTCCCACTTTTCTAACAAAGATTAATGTTTTAATATAACTAGTGAAGACACCAAAATATTTAGACATTTACCGTAACTTCAAAATATAACTGACACCGTGTTTATATCACCGTCTGCTTAAGGTATCATTACCCACTATTGTGAATAGCTCAAAACCAGTCAAAACAGTTGACATGAAAAATGTTTTATACTGGTACAATATGATGAAATACCTAAATGCATATTTTTGTATGAATTAACACAAGAGGGACAGATTATCATTTCTTAATTATATATTTGAATATAAAACACAAAACACAATTATCAAACATTCTTATGGATAATATATTGCAGTTTTTACCTAAATACATTTGACATCCCCCCACCTTCAACCATCCAAATCCCCCCCCCCCTCCCTACTCTAAATCCCCCTTATAAGGTGTCACAGATGTAATTAACCATGTCAGGTTTCTCAAGGTGAAGTTATTTATCTACAGTTGATAATGAAAAGTCTGTTGCATTTCAGCTTGAATCACACTTTTCATGAAACATAATAATGAGCTTCTTCAGAATGCAAAAAATATTATGAATAAAAAAAACAAGTTTGAAATTCCTTTAGGTTGTAAATATGAAATCTTATCCCTCTATCATTACTCATAACTCATCAAAACAAACTGAATCCTGACTAAACAAGTCTGGGGGTGGGCTTATTACAGGACAATAAGCCCTGGGGGCAAACATTAAAAACCTGATTCAATAAGTCAGGCTTAAAGTGAAATAGAGAACAGTAGTTCTAATATAACATAGGTGGGCTTATTACCAGGCATGGGCTTGCTGTTGTACAAATAACACAGGTTTCACCATGCATTATACAGTCAGGATAAGAGGGTTTCCAGATCGAAATTTATGGTATAAAATGTAATATGAAAAATCAATGACTGTCAAAAATGGACACTTCTGAGGTTTAAGCAATATGTTACTGAACCAAATGATGTTCAGATACAGAAATATTATACATTATTGAAGGTTTACCAATTTTTCCATACCAAAGAGTGGATTCTACAATCACTCCAGAGCCATAAAACAATGCATTTCTGTGATGATCTTTTCCCACATTTTTCAAACTAGCTTGTCAAGTTTCGTTAACAGCGATCATGAATTAGATAATGAAATTAAACAAATCACCTTATTCCTAAATGGGCTAAATGAAGCCATTTCTCGATATTGAATATAATTGTCTGTAATAAAGCAGCAGAATAGCAGCACACCCTTATGTGCCTGAAAGACAATGAATTTTCTCTGAATCAATAATTCCCATGTGTGAAAACAAAAGTGTCGAAAAATTAACTCCAACAGAAAAATGAAACCTTTTATTGACAGCTACACTTCTGAACCATAATTCCATCTTCCCACAGACATTATATTAAAACTTGCTGTTCGTAAAATAATAGTAATAAAAAAACTAAAAATCAGCGTGAGAAAGTCGGCTTCAATAACATTTGAACAAACCTCCGTTCCTTTGGGGATTCGGCTCAAATTTACATCACTTTGCATCAGGAATAGAAAAAAAAATCATTCATGCATCCAAGAGTAGATCTGGGTTCAGATGTCACTGATCTATCATCCTTGTGTCAAATCTTATTACAAAGAAACTGGTCAAGATCTTACAGCACATCTAAAATTACCTTCAATGCTAAAGACTTCTGACAAGGGAGAGTAGATTAGATTTTCTGATTAAATGAAACAGATACCAGGGATAAAGTCTATCTAAGAAACGTTTCATTCTTCAGAGATTTAGTTTTTTATCTTGATTTCAAACATCTTGCAATTTTGATTTTTATAAAAGAATATCTGAAAAAAAAATCTATCTTTCTTGAAAAGAAGTTTTCGAAATAACATAATACATTGTTAAGAGAGATCTTATAGAGCTCAGGTCATGGCTGGGTGGACACTGCACTTAAGTAAATGTACAAAAAAGGGACAGGATCTATCAAAAAGTTGCTGAATTAATGATCAAGTTTTAAAAACACATATTAGGTATCACTGTGTTACATATCAACATTTTCTGCACTGAATAAAAACATGAGAAAACGATTAGAAAATTCACACCTGAACATAAAAAGGTGAGAAATTTGAGAACTTGAATAATGGGTTACGATAGTTTTATATCTTTCAATTGCCTGCATATAATCATATATTCCTGTTATAGTATCTAATTGAAAGTGATGATAGATATTATCATTTACCTGAGTTTTAAGCAAGTTCAGTCAATAATGAAAAAGGAAATTTCAAGAAATATCGAAAGTCACCTAAAATCTTACATTATGAAAAAGGTTTTAATAAACTGACTAGGACCTCTTCCAGAGTGGCTGATAGGAAGAGGTGTCACGAGGTTTGAAACACACTAGCAGCAATTAGACACTATTGTAGTGTACCTCTAGTCTATTTAGTTGTAAAAACATGTATCTGCATATTGGGAAGCAAACAAGCAGTTGACTGTTATCCTTCTTCTAAGAATACTGCGAAAACTCTTAAAAATCTCTTACTGTCCTGTAAACAATGGAATATACAATTATATTTGTGTCCTTGGAAATTTTGCAGAACAATCACGTAAAACACAAATACAACGCATTGAAGCTGATGTGTTGTGGCATTATCCCTATGACACTGTAATTACGATCTGGGAAAAAAGGGCAGAACAATAATGACAATTTGGTAAACTCATCCAAATTTCATTGCATTGAACTTAAAGTGTCAGACAACCGTCGCAGAAATTGTTTCAAATTAAAACTGGCAGACATACTAAATGTCTGCTGCTACACATTGGTTATAATACTGAATGTCTGGACAGAACAACAACCAGACAATCTGTTGTAGAAGTTAATTCAATAAGACTGATTCGTTAAGTCAGAAACAAAGAAACATTGGACCCATTATTTCATCAGGATTCTTTGTGTAATAATACATGAGACAAATAATTGCTTTCCCAAATTTTTTTTTTTTAAAACGATACTTTGAAATCCTGTCATATTGATTAGTTTCTGTAAATAGACTTTGAAAAAATAGTTAAAAAAATCTTGCATCACCTTTTTTTGTCAAATATTAAGTCAGCTCCCTCAAAGCACTGAGAAGTTAGCATTCTACTGACTTCAGTGAACTCATATAGGACACCATTATTCCAATATTTGATTTTGTGTTATGTTTGCTAGTGATATAGCCTATCACAATATTAACATAGGTTAGACTACCAGAGAAATAGGAAGAATTTGGACACAGAATAACAATAGGACAGCTTAAAGAAAAAGACTGTAAAAATATTTGCCAAAGGCCAGCCCACAGAACATTGGGGTTAAGCTGTTTCATGGTTGATAAGTGACTTACCTGTAGTTGTGTGTATTCTACGGCTTACCTGGCCGTCAACATACCTGTCCTCATTATCTATCTTTAACTATGGCCAGTAATTAAATCTTGTCAGCTTAACAAAGTTTTTGAAAATTTTATGTTTTTTATGAG